AAACTGATCTTAGGTATATAAAGAGAATCGAAAATGAATCTTGATGTGAATGGAAGGGGAGAGGGAGTGGGAAAGGGGAGGGTTGTGGGTGGGAGGGACATTATGGGGGGGAAGCCATTGTAATCTATAAGCTGTACTTTGGAAATTTATATTCATTAAATAAAAGTTCAAAAAAAATGGAAAAAATCTCCCATGTTCATGGACTGGAAGAATCAATATCATCAAAATGTTCTTATTACCAAAAGCAATAAAGCAATTTACAGATTCAGTATGGTCCTAATCAAAATACAGTGACATTCTTCTCAGATCTAGAAAAAGCAATGCTAAAATTCACATGGAAACACAAGAGAGCCTGAATATATAAAGCAATCTTATACACTAAAAAAAGTTGGAGGCATCACAATACCATATTTCAAGACATACTACAGGGCAGTTATAATCAAAACAGCCTGGCACTGGCACAAAAATACACATGTAGACCAATGGAACAGATTAGAAACTCCAAAAATTAATCCACACATCTACAACAAACTAATCTTTGACAAATAACCTAAAATCAATCCTTGGAGAAAGGACAGTCTCTTCAACAGGTAGTGCTGGGAAAATTGGATTTTTGTGTGCAGAAGTATAAAACATCACCCTTATCTTATCCCTTACAAAAAAACCTACTCAAAATGTATCTAGGATCTAAATCTACAATCTGATATCATCAAATTACTAGAGCAGGATATTGGAAAAACTCTGCAAGATATTAGCATAGGCAAAGATTTCTTGGAAAAGACCCCAGAGGCACAGATAATCAAAGCCAATATTGACAAATGGGATTACATCAAGCTTAGAAGCTTCTGTACTGCAAATGAAACACTCAGGAAAGTGAAGAGGCAACCAATAGAATGGAGTAAAATATTTTCAAGCTATGAAACTGATAAAAGATTAATATCCAGAATCTATAAATAGCTCAAGAAACTCAACAACACAAACATCCCAGTTAAGAAATGGGCAAAGGATTTGAACAGGCATTTTTTTAAGAAAAATTTACTTAAGTCATACAAGTGTCTTGTATTTCATATACACAGATTTAGGAACATAGTGATACTTTCCACCCTACCCTCCCTTCCACTCACTCTCTAACCCTTCTTCTTCCTCCCTCTCCCATTCCCACTCTTAATTTTTATAAAGATCTACTTTCAGTTTACTTCACTATCATAAAGTTAACTCTACACTAAGTAAAAGAGCTCAACAAATAATATGAAGAAAAAAAGGACACTGTTCCTCAAAAGAAGAGACAAGGACTGTAAACCATCATCAAATCTCAAAATGTCCAATACACTACATTTTAGGTCTTCTATTAGTTACCTCAGATCAGGTAAAACATATGGTATCTGTGTTTTGGGGACTGAACAGACATTTTTCAAGAGAGCAAATCCAAATGGCCAACAGACACATGAGAAAATGCTCAGGATCACCAGCCTTCAGGGAAATGCAAATCAAAACAACAATGAGATTTCACTTGCCCTGGTTAGAATGGCTCTCATATAGAAATCAGCAAACAACAAATGCAGGCGAGGAGGTGAAATATGGACCCTAATGTAAACTGGTAGAGCCTCTGTGGAAGACAGTATGGAGAACCTCAGAAATCTGAATATAGACCTGCCAGGCATCCCACTCTTGGGGATTTACTCAAAGGAAATGAAATCAGCATATGGGAGAATTATCTATACCCCCATGCTTATTGCAGCTAAATTCACTATAGCTAAGATATGGATCAACCCAGATGTCTGCCAGCTGAGGATTTGATAAAGAAATAATGGAATACTACTCAGCCAAAAAAGGAGTGAAATCATGTCTTTTGCAACAAAATGGATATAAGTGGAAACCACTAAGTGAAATAAACCATTCCCAAAAAGGCAAATATCATATTTTCCCTGATTCATGGTGACTAACAAAGTACCAAAAATGTAACATATAGCAGTGATATTAACATTTTGAGATTCAATGACTGTTCACAGCAATTGTCTCTATTGTTGAGGAAGATTGCTTGTTTTTCTTCTTACTGTATGTTGAACTCTTTACTTAGTATAGAGTTAATATTAGGATTATAAAGTAAACTGAAAGTAGATATTTATAAAAATTAAGAGAGGGCATAGGAGAGGGAAGAGGAGGAAGGGTGGGAGCATGGGGGGTAGGGAGGGAAGTGTGGAAAGTAGCACTATGTTCCTAAATCTGTATATATGAAATACATGAAATTTGTTTACCTTAAATAAAATTTAAAAAATAAGATAAAACTATATATATAAACATGCATATGTTTATATATATATAATATATTATATATTATATATATATATATATATTAAAAACTCAGATGTCCAGGCTGAACCTATTTTGGGGACTTGACAAGGATCACTTGCCTCTGGGAACTCCAAATAACCAAGGGTCCCTCCATATTGTTTGAAAATACTTTCTTGTGAACTCTATGATTTTCTCTTCTGTCTATTCAGGGTCTTTGCATAAATAGCATTGTTTTTATATGTAATGTGACCAAAGAAGAAAGAAATAAAACCAAAGGCACACAGGATGATGATATTTTCTGATGTGCAAAGCAACAGATCTTGGGTCCTGAAGTCCACGTGCCAGAGTTCAAATTCCTGCTCTGTCGCTCAAAGCATGGATGGTTCTGTTTCCTCCCTCAGCTTCAGCTTCCTGTCTCTAAAGCAGAACATGTTACCCCTGTCCTTGGGTTGTGATGAGGATCAATGAGAGAACACATGCTAATCAGCATAAAGTCATGCCTAAAAAGTATGATGCATCCTTTGCAAATGCTCACTGCCAATATTATTATCCTCATTAAAAGTCCTTTAGAACTGAGTCAGAAATAAATATTACCAAAATGTCACAGATCATGAGACCCATTCATCATCTTCTTTCAACAAATTGGATTATTGTAATCATAACTATCTTTTTCTGTTTTTTTTTTTTTATTGCTTAAGCTGGATTATTTACTTGCAAATGCATAAAATAAGGTATTTATCCATTTCAGAAAATCTGTTAATTCACTTTAGAAATGAAACATAAATCAATGTAAAAATGCATTTGAAATGCAAACAACTCCAGCATTGGGGGAAAATTTTTAGAAGTTTGACTTCATGCTATTTATTGCTGGTATAGTTAATTCTATAACTATTTATGTTGATTAATTGCCACGGGAGAATTCTATACAGTCAAGTCATCAATTGGTACCATAACTCACAAGACAGCAGACTAGAGCTGAAAGAGAACATTCATTATCCAAAAGTACTCCCTTAATTGTAAAAAAAAAAAATCTAGTTTTCTATTAGCTAATTAGTAAAGCAAGACCCAATCTACTCCCCAGGACTGTCAAAAAGGAAAACAGTAAGGAATTACATATGAAAGTGGTTTGGAAATTAGCACATCTATTAAATTGTTAGGATTGTATTATTATTTTTGTAATTACTAATTTTTCACATCCCTTTAACTAGGGATATGAGTCATAAAATGTCATAAAAACGCTGAATGATTTGAATATGTGATTGCTTTGCCACAAAGTCCTCTTTTGTGCTGTCACATTGTTTTAACAAGCACATACATTGGACATTCAAAATTCAATTAGGTGAGAAATAATTTTGATGCTTCAAAGGATATAATTAGTTCTAGAGATAGAGAAACAAATTTCTAGCCAAATTTCTGAATCCGAAGAGGCCAACATTTTGTCATCATGTTTATCATGTTTCCTCTGTATTACAATTCCTTCAATGAGCCATAATGAGTTCTAAATGCAAGCATTCAGGAATAAAAAAGAAAAAAATATTCATAGAGTAAGCTATATAATTATTTTAAACAGTTTTGTCTTCTATTTCCATTACAATCATAATTACTTCACATATGTAAACCAAGTCTCATTTAAATGAGAACTCAGGCCATTCCAGGTAACTTTCCCCACAGGATCATGACAGTCTATAACTTCCAGGGGCATTAGAGATGACCTGCATTGGTACTCTCATCTTGAAATCCATGTATTTCCTATGAAAATTAGGCAAAAACCCTTGTATGCATATATACATTTTTTACCAAAACAAACATTTCTTTTAATTTTATTTTTCACTAACTTTTGAAGCACCTTTGTGTATTTCTTCCTCCTTGTCCATTTAAGGAGTTCCAGTGGTCAGGAGGGAGGTGGAGATGGAGAACTGATTGCATCAATTTTTTTTTTATGCAAGTTCACTTTGAAATTTTCATAAGGGAGTAATACCCATAGCTGTTTTCCATGTAAAGTAAGGCCTGAGGTAGGGAATGGAGCCACCTACCTCACTCCAGTTTCCAACAATCCAGCGTGCAGGGCTGTGGTCCTTCATGAACTGTTTGTAACTGGAGGCATTGAGTAAAAAGCCCTCAGAAATCAGACTAGTTGCATCTTCCTCAGTCAGCACTGGTCCAGAATTTTGTGTTACATTCACGTTGCTTGGATGTTCCAGGTGGTTATGATTTATTGGCTTTTCTGAGGGTGCTGGTTGTTGATCCCCTCCCAGAGGGAGCGCACCATTAACTGGCTTTTCAGTAACCATACCCGCAGCCCTTGGTGTCCCATTTTTGAGAGTACTGGGCCTTTGGCTGGGGACCAGTCCTTTCATTCCTGTGCTGACAGGTGGCCACAAGGACTCTTCACTGAGATAAGGTATTGGTGGAAGTCCCAGTGGCGATTCTGTAATTGTTTCCACTAGAACATCATTTTCAGGTACTCTGATCTGTGTCCGCAGCACAGGGTTACTTTCATCTTTGTTCTCTGGCTGTTCCCTGTCTTCTCCTGAACCACTATGAATCTCCAATTCTGGGTCTTTGGTTAAAGTACTGTAAAATGGAGTCACCTGCCAGGTCACAGCATTGCTGGATGCTGAAAAGTCAGAACCACTTGTTGTCGCCACAAGGTGTCCATCTGAGGTAGGACCAGTAGCTGGATTGGAAATATTCTCATCATCAGACTGGATATTCACAGACCAGGAAGTGAGGATGGGCTGGGAAGTACTTCCAAGGGAAATGAGGTAACGTGAGCTCAGTTCAGTTTGTGTTGAACTATTTTGCCATTGTTTCCCATCCAGGTCTGTTTCTCTGGAAGGTGCGGTGGGACCAGGTCCGGTTGTTACTGGAGTGCTTGTGCTCATAGACTCAGGCACTGTGGGTGTGGTCAGCACTTTGTGCCTAGATGTAGGTGGGACGATGGGCTTTAATGGTGGTAGATGTTTCCCACTGAAAATGATGCCTTTGTTGGGTCTCAGAACTCTCCAGCTAGATGGACACTGCTGAAGGCCACACAGAGCTCGGCTGTTGGGTTTCCTTGTCTTGTCACAAGGTTCACCATTGTTCTTAGCACACGTGACACTGCGAATGCGCACACCACCACCACAGGAAACAGAACACTGGAAAAGAGAGACAGCTTTTAGCCCAGGAGGAACAGACACTTTTATTCTCATGGTCAGGTTTAACACCAAATCAGGACAGGCCCATTGAAAACTGAACTCTGCAGCTAAGCTTGTCATCTCCTACCCTTACTTTGGTGTCTACATTCTGTTTTTCATGGAATATGCATTTCCTGGAGGTCAGCTGTGGCTCAGGACCAACAATTTACTCTTCACAAGCTGACAGCATAAAACACAATGTAGTCCAATTAAAGTCTCTTCGGGCTTTGAACACTGGGTGGTGGGATCTACAAACTGCAATGATTTAAACTTAGCCTTTGTAAGACATCATAAATAATTCCTATGGTTTGAATAGAATTTGGCTTCCCAACTTATGCAGGTGCTTAAACCACAAAGTCATAAATTAACGTTGCTAAAGAGTATGGAGGTTTGATCTCATTATGGTATGTAGGAGATAGTCCTGGTTGGAGGTTCTTATGCAACTGAAGCCTACCCTTGGAAGGGAGTTTTCATGAGATGGTTGGTTATAAAAGCCAGGTTTTATCTAGAATCTCTCTTTTCTGGCTCACTGTGATCCTCTGGCATATGTTCTGCCATCCACCACTCTCATCAGATGCCAGACTAATGGGCCACTTGGTTTTGGACTGTGAACCTCCAAAGCCGTTAGCCAAAAAAAACCCTCTTTCCTTTCTTAAAGACACTGCATAATGCAGTGTATTTCAAAGGACTCCACAGCATTACTCTGTGTGATGCTCATGGCATGCCTGTGAAATCGACAAGGTAAGACTTATTATTTAGCTTTCCACAAGAGAAGAATCTGAGGCTCAGACAGTCCCCTGAAAGGCTGACGGGGTGTCACACAAGTAAGAATTAGATTTATTTGATTTCTCTGTACCCTGGCAAAACCTAGTGCAACACACTACACACATCACCATCTGTAGAGTTCACTTATTAACTTGACACAATTTTACAGCTGAAGTTACCTAAATGAAAGTACTTTTTTTTTTTTTTTGACAGGCAGAGTGGACAGTGAGAGAGAGAGACAGAGAGAAAGGTCTTCCTTTTGCCATTGGTTCACCCTCCAATGGCCGCTGCGGCCGGCACGCTGCAGCTGGCGCACTGCGCTGATCCGAAGCCTGGAGCCAGGTGCTTTTCCTGGTCTCCCATGGGGTGCAGGGCCCAAGCACTTGGGCCATCCTCCACTGCCTTCCCAGGCCACAGCAGAGAGCTGGCCTGGAAGAGGGGCAACCGGGACAGAATCCGGCGCCCCGACCGGGACTAGAACCCGGTGTGCCGGCGCCACTAGGTGGAGGATTAGCCTATTGAGCTGTGGTGCCGGCCAAGAACTACTTCTTATTCATAACTGACTTCTAGGATAGTTCTTGAGGCACAATGATCACTTTCTACACACTTATTAAGTAGCTGGTTTACTTAGAAAAAATGAAGAATGAAAAAATTTACACTCATGAGCTTATGCAATATTTAGCTTAAATGACTTGGTTTCTCAAGGCTCATTTTCAATTTCCTCTATGTAAGAAAATAATACTGATGTAGAAAACTGCCCATTTATTTTGTTTCAATCCTTTGAAAAGGAGGAGATGCTTGTGGTCAAGAGAATGTGCAGCTGTGGGAGAACCTGACTGCAGATTCCGGCTCAGCCAGCAACCTTCAGGATTTAAGATGTCAATTAAATGCTCAACTGCCTCAATCTAAGATTGATCTTTCAAGTTTACTTTGAAATAATAATAATAGTAATAGTCTTTGGGGGAACAGTCTTCCATGGACTATGAGATGCATACTCATATTTCTTCCAAGTGGAGGCTACCAACCAAAAGTCTCAGGACCCACTAGTGAACAAATAGTGGCTTCTGGAACCTTTCATAATTGCTCACTTGGAATCCCAAAAATAAAGGCTTGGAGGTATTTGCCTTCCTGTTTTCCCATGATATTTCTGCCCTTCTTGTGTGTGAAGACAGTTAATGCTTCATTTCTTTCAGGCCACCACTTGTTACTTTCTAACCTGAACCCATTGGATTTCCAAATCTTGCATTTCCAAACTTATCAATATCATTGATTTGCGAGCTGGGTGCCTCAGCTGGGCTCAGTTTTCAGAGCTGACTCACAAGCAAGGCTCTAGGCAATGCCAACTGTTCTTAAGCAGCAGGTAGCCTCCTTTCAGTTTTCCTCTCCAAGATGTGTTAGACATGATCCGATAGGAAACTCTGATTTTTCTTTTCTGCTTCCTCTTTCCACAGCCCTTCTGTTACCCCATATTGAACACTGGGGGAAAGATCTATAAAATCTGTGAGGAATAAATTCCATCATCTGCCTTTATTATTAACTACATGCATTAACCTGTGACTCAGTGTCCGCTTCCTGTTCTGAAGACTGAAAGTTGAACTTGCCTGTCAAGGATGCTCTGGGGATTATGGGAGATGATAGTCTGAGCACAGCATGTAACATGAAGTTGTTATTGTCAGTGTTTCTTTTTTTTTATTATTTGATAGGCAGAGTTACAGACAGTGAGAGAGAGAGAGAGAGAGACAAAGAGAAAGGTTTTCCTTCCATTGGTTCACTCCCCTAATGGCTGCTAAGGTTGGAACATAGTAAAAGCAGCTGATCTGAAGCCAGGAGCCAGGTGCTTCCTCCTGGTCTCCCATGCGGGTGCAGGAGCCCAAGCACTTGGGCCATCCTCCACTGCCTTCCTGGGGCCACAGCAGAGAGCTGGACTGGAAGAGGAGCAGCCAGGACTAGAACTAGCGCCCATATGGGATGCCAGCGCCACAGGCAGAGGATTAACCAAGTGAGCCACAGTGTCAGCCCCTGTCAGTGTTTCAATATTGGTGCTGAGAATTATCAGAGTGATAATAAAAACAAAAACCTTACCCCCCTCCCCCAGTTTCTATGTCCCTTGTAGAGCATGGCACATAGAGCTGTCCTTTAGGGGCTGGGATGTGAGCAGCTGTCTGGTGAAGCAGGTGCAGGTAGCTGTCTGTAAGACAGTGTGGAGATCCATACACACCCCTCTACTTTATTGCTTGCTTTCTAAAAAGTCAGATATAATGGGACTAACTGATGGATATATTGTTCCTTAAATTATATATTCCAGGAAACCAAATAATCTTGCTAACTATGTAAATTCTGTCACCCTAAACAAGAAAAACAAGGTGATTAATAGCTACTGAGTTCATTATCTTATTAAACTACATTAGACTTTAATGTTTTAAAACAGAAGATTGTCTCTATTATGAGTTTCAAAGTGCAGCTGAAGGCCCATATTTGGCTCATCAACATGTACTCTTTGGACTGTGCAACCTTAAAACAACAAGGAAGGAAACAAAATATAAAAATTGAACTAGTAACGAATGTTTTAAAAAATAGCAATCAAGATTAGCATCAAATTCCAGACTCTTGGCTTCTTTTAAAAAAGCAGATGATCTGCATCTTTTATACCCACTTTCAAATGGCAACTCAAAACTTCAGTGATGGAGACTGGAGTCTGGGAGTTTGTAGGTTCTCCAGCACCTCTATTTCCCCTGCACAGTTTCTTCCCTAACCCAGAAGACACTGACTCTTCCAAAGAACAAGTGGTTGCTGTCCCTTAGCACTGGGGCATGTGTGCTCAGCAGGGCAGTGCTATCTGCCAAGTACATTGCATCTAGACACGAAGCTGCCCTTTCTCATAGTCCAGGCAGAACAAGCAGCTGCTTTATATTCAGCCTGATGCTTCTTCCAGTACATCTTCCCAACTGTGCTTATCTCCTTAGGAGCTGTCAAGCCCTTGAGATGAGATAAATACAGTATGCACACCACACTTAAAGCCGTCTCAACTGGTAGCTTCAGCATCCTCAAAACCAATTTCGGCTCTGATTATCATATGCCTTTACCTTATCATTTTGAACATGTACCAGACAAGCAGCTTGTCAGTCTGTTGTTAATGTCCTCATGGGAGTTATCTTGCCCTCACTTGCCACCGCCGCTGGAGTTAGCCCTCTGAGTGGAGCCCACTGAGAAAGAGGTCTGCTACTAAATTTGTCAGCTCCACCCACCTGGGGTGCACTGCAGGGAGGGGAGGAGGGGCCCCTCATAGCTGGCAGAGAACTGCAGTGTTGAGGGAGGGTTTATTCAGAAGCACAGCTGGAATTTTTCAGAGAGTTTGGGCTAAGGGGCTCAGTAGATAAATTGCTAGTACTTTGGGCATCATTTGTAAGTGAATGACTGAATCTCATAGTAAAAGCAGCTTTGAAAGTAACTAAAACACTCAGGCCCTGCTAGGGATTGAATTATCAGAGTCCTAATAGCCCTGTCACAGTGTGGTCCTGTTTGGATCTTTACAGAGGGAATCAAGTTGAAATGAGGTCATTGGGGTGGCCGTATCAATATGACTGATGTCTTTATAAAAAACAGACACTCTAGTCTTGGACTTGTGGTCTTCAAAGCTATGATACAATACGTTTTTGCTGTTTAAGAAATCCACTACCAAAGTGGTTCTTGGTTAGAGCAACCCTATGAAACCTTTGATAACGATGATGGAGAGAATCAATAGGGGCCACACTGATTTTCTGTGAACAGCTGTTACAAACAAGGGTGCCATGCTTGTTCTCCAGAAAACCAGGCAGAGCACAGGCTACTGACATCTGAGAACGGAGACTGGCATTGACAGACATCTGTGCCCAAAGAGGGGTGCCTGAGGTCAGCACACCAGGGGTCAACCTTATATGAAAGCCTGGGACCTTGACTAAAACTGGAGAAAAGCAGAGGGTGTGACTCCAGAAATATCCACTACAGCTCCCTGCTTGCTCTCTTTGGTTTGCAAGAACTCTTAAGGGGGCTTCACATGAGTCTTGCTTTGCTTTTCATCCAGCAATAGACATGACATGGATGCTTCCTGCTGTGACAAATGGTGCTTTCTATTGAATAGCCAGGGAAAGCTCATTTTTGACAATTGGCATTTAATTTACTGTTACTCTGCATCCTAACATTCTGATAATCAACTCCATACTTCATGGGTAACTTGGTTAATTGATTGTTTTGTTCATTTGTTTATTTTAGTGTTTTTTTCAGGCACAGCAAAATTGGATTAAAGATCTTCCGAGACTCAGGGCATGTCTGCTTTTGAAAGATCTATCCCATATCCTGTCAAATGTATTCAAATGCATCTCCAATCTCAACTGAAATATATTTTTTTTGTAAAAATCATTTGAACAGGGTTTTTTTTTTTTGCTTTTGAAATTATTTGGTGAGGGTAACTCATTTCATTTTTGAGAAGTTCTGATTTCTCAGAAAATCATTTTGCTTGGTCTGGAATTCTGTAAAATGAGAAAAGTTGATCTATAATTGTCTTTAAACGTAACACATTTCTTAAACAAGAACCCTCAAACTTCTAAATTTTACAAACACTTGAGATATGGTATGCCACAATGTTCAGAGTAGAAGTTCTGCTGTCTCCATCCAAATGCTGGTTCCAACGCTTGCTAGCTGCGTGACTTTGGGCACGTTTCTAAATGTCTCTAGGCCTCAGCTTCTTCACCTAATCAATGGGGCTTATAAGTCCATTGTGAAGATTAATTGTTTTATTATCTGCAAAGGTTTAAATACATATACTAAATTCCCACTACTTGCTATTAATCTGCAATCAAATTATTGATTTCTGATGATGCTGTCTCATCTTATTTTTATTATTTGTTTTATTGTGGAAGGAAAAACGTGAGTTTTTTTTCAAGATGTCAAACATCCTTGTAACACCTTGACACTCTAACCCTGTGCTTACAGTACTCCATGCATAAAATGGCCAGAGGAAAGGGAGGGTAAGACAAAAACACAAGGGGCCACAAACTAATACCTTCTGGATTTCTGGGTGCCACTGGGAGGCAAGGCTTGCATGCATAGCATGGAAAATAATCCCTTGTCTTCTTGACCAATAATCAAGTCATCATTTAGTGAATAATTACTAGTTTCCAGGTACTCTGCTAAGTGTTTACATAATTATTTTATTCGATTTTTACAATAACCTCATCTTTCTATGTGAGGAAAGGTTGAGAGACAGTTAATACCAGCTCAAGGTCATATAACTACAGACTTCCAGGGCTGGGAAACAGGAAACTTACTATACCACCAAGTCTATTAGTCTATCTGACAAAAGAACTAACATACTGGTTTATAGTTGAAGAAACCAAGGTTTTGTAAAGTGAAATCATTTCTGTAAGAAAAAGGCAAGTTCATGCAACACAAGATTAGAATGTAAATGATTCTCTGGTGCCTGTACCCCAACTCTTTCTGCTTCCTTTCTGCCTAGATACACAAAGCCAGCCACATTGATTTACTACCTAGCACTTTCAGTGGTCATCCATCCATCCATCCATCCATCCAAAGCAAAGATGCCACAGTTCTCTATAAATCAACTCAATGAACTATTCTCTAATTGTATTGCTGGGGCCATTATTTAAAAACCTCACATAAAGGTAATTTATTATACTAGATAAGTATCTTGAAGAGGAATTAGTCTTCCAGCTATGATACAGAAAGGATTAAAGAACCCATTGTGTTGCCCTGTATAAGTGGATGCAACTGAAAGTTTAATCACAGTAAGTCTATTATCCTCACGTTGTTCCTGCTCTGAGTCACAGCCACGATTTCTATTTTATCACTTCAGTGTTTACAGTCTTTATATTAATTAGACATTCAGAAATGCCTTTGGAAAGAGAAACTGTGTACAAGTAAACACACCTATCCTGGATTCCATAAGTTTTCATGTTGGTCATATGCATATACAAACCAAATTGAACAAAGTAGAACCTATGGCTATTCAACCAATGGGAGAACCAGACCAAATAAAGAGAAGGTCTGATGCCAAACAAAATGAAGCTCCAATCCTCACCCATCTTGAGGTTGACTTTAAATCAGAGTTAATTTGAAGCCCAGCTCTATTATTTATCAGCTGAGACTTGAGTAAGTTTAACTCCCTAAGTTTCATGTTCTTCAGTTCCAAAATGGAAGAATTAATGAACTAATATCAGAGAGATATTTAAAGGGTTAAATGAGACAGTCTGTATGGTGTATAAAGACTCAACAAGTGATTTTTTTATTTCCGTCTATTCACTTTACTAACAAATGCTTGAATGTATATAGCTTACTATATGGCAAGAGCTGTTCTAGTAAGAACTTCAGAAATATTAACTCATTTAGTCCTTACAACTTTCACTGAAGATAGGTACTACTGTTACCTCATTTTATGAGTAAACAAATGACATAAAAATAGAAGTAAGTACAGAGAGATTACATTTATTTACCTATTAAGTGGTATTCTGGATTTGAACCCAGGGAGCCCTAATCTGGGAGCCATGCACTTCACTACTAGATTGGCTGCCTCTCATGGGGCATGCCACCAAAATGGTATGCCTAGGAAAAATTCTGATCAAAGAAACACTGATACCACATCTTTGTTTACAACAAATAGATTCCTTGTCTTTATTCTCTAAGCCCAGAAAGTAGGTTGGGTAAAAGGAGGTTGAGACTCTTGGTGAGATTTCAGATTAGCAGTGGGAGTCAGGTGTCTAGAGCATGAGTATAGGGGGAGGGGGCTGGTTATAGGGGATAGGAAATCTTTCCTTGTGTGTAGCAGTGGATATAACTTTCCTTCCTGATCTCTGCTGGGTTAGGGATAAGGATGCCAGCCTAGTGTGGCTGGGTCCACCCTCCCTTCATTCCTTGGGTTGGTAGGGTTTCCTTGATAGGTAAGAGCGACTCATGGATTTTCCTATTCTTTCTCCTGCTGTGCTTGGCTAGGAGCCTCTGAGTTCTTGGGTCTCTTTCCCCAGTGATATTCTAGCTTCAGACTCATCCAGGGTGACCAAAAGAATTCAGTGCCAATCAAATAATTAGCTATTGCTGGAGTACTTCTCTGCTTCAAATGATGTTCGTGTCAAGATAAAATCACATGACAAATATGGTGTACCAAGAATCACTATATCAACTCTTTTACAAAAAGTATCTGGTCACAGTTAGAATGCCAAAGGCATTTCATCATATTCCAGCAAAGTTCACTAGAGGATTATTAGCAAGACAGCACAGAGAAGAAAGGAAGCCCTGTTCAATGAATATTTTGATGTTGATTCAACCAAAAGTTCCTGAATGAAGGCATCAACTCAGCCTTTCTATTCTGCTACCAAGTGGATGATAGAAACTAAATTCCCTGAGCATTGTCAATCAACTATTCAATAGTGGATGCTGGGAATCACAGACATGAGTACTTGTCAAATCATGCCAATTTTTTGGTTCCCTTGTTCTTCAGTTAAGACAGGTTATTGTGTTTCCCATAAACACAAACACAATAAGAACTCCTCAGCTAAATCTGTAATTGCAGTTCTTTGAAAAAGCATTAAAATTCTGGCAATTAGCAAATTCTACATGACAAGAATTATTAACTGTTTGGATACAGCCAAATATTTTTGGTAAACAGATTTAATGGACCAGTCACAATACTCCATTCAGCCTTATTTTGACAACACTGCAATTTAGAGCAATCTAGGTTGGCAGTGGACTAATAGACCAACCAGCCACATGCTAAGATTATTTCCTCCAAGGAACAGTAGGGAGAATATTCTGGTTTATCACTTATATATGTACTTGTATCAGTGCACAGATCAGTTATACACCTGTGTTAGTTTGCAGTTGTATTTTCTTTGCATGCATATATTTGTCCATCTCTTAATCCTGATCTGCTGATTTTTAAAAATAATTTGTTATTTAGCAATTCCTTAGATCATTGGGAGGAAGAGCTGAGTCCCTTGGAGATTTGAAGTCTCTGGGAGAAAAAGTTTTTACTTTTTCTAATCAGTCAGCCCAAGGCCTGTCAGAACCAGGTTTCAAAGTGAACCAAAGATAATGAAAGTTGGAGGTTTTTCCTAACCTTCCAGCCCACTGATTTCTAACTATACTCAGAAAACTAAATCAAATTAATTTTGGGATGATGCAACATTTGAATTTTTGTGGCTAAGCTAGTAGCTGTTCTAAACACAGGCTTGATAGATGATTTGATGGGATTCTTTACCATCACGTATACTCCTCATCTTTCCATATTACAGGGATGCTCCTCAGTTTTAGTTAACTATGGTGAGATGCTGGTGTTTAACGAGTTAGTTCTTAGGTTTAATGGTTTAACAATGGGCCAGCAAACAGTCTAATACTTATCAGTGAGCTATAATGAGCCCGTATGAGTGGGGTCCACCTTATCCATTGTGGGTAGTTGACAAGTGAGAGCAAGGAAGAAAGGATACTGCATGGGGAGAAATGCAGAAAACAGGACAATGGTGACTGAGGCTGTCCACTATGCAATTTTAGCTAAGGTCACTTAGGATGGATTAATGAGGAAGAATGGGTAGGGGGTTGATGGCACATGAGTAATACCAATTTCCCTTCCTGAGCTCACCTCGCTCCAGTTGCCCACTGTCCAGTCCGATGGACACAGGATGTCTCTGTTACAGGAAATGAGGGACCTGGGCTTCAGCAGGTGCAGGCAGTCAGTAGCTGGGAGGGCCTGCTCATCAGAGCCCATGGTCTGGATGCACAACACTGTTCTCTTCTTCACTCCGTAGGGCCCACATGTGGTCGAACACGCTTCCCACTCCCCTGCCCACCATCTGCAGGCAGATATAGACATATTATAGGAGGTCACCAAAAGTACATAAGCATTCAACTCAGCTACTAGGAAGAAAACACAGGCACAGATGCATTGATTACAGAGTTGGAAATTTCTTGGAGATGCTTCAGCCCACCAGGGTGCATTCTGCAGAAAGGGCTATAGTGATTCGTTCGATCACAGTCCCAGAGCACAACCATGTACCTGGTCTAAGTAGTCACCAAATAAGCATGGTTTTGAATTTGTGAATGCATATGTATTCATGATTCATATTCATATGTATATTCTCTCTTTTCAACCAAGAAAACTGAGGTCTAGTTTTCTTTTGGGTAACAAGTTTCAGACTTATGTCCTCATCTGTTAAATGGGTATAACCATACTACTTTACAGGAGTGCTGCGGATTAAATGACAAACTAATCAATGTAAAACAAACAGTACAGAGCCTGACATACAATCAGAAGCTCAACCACTTGCCATTCTTTATTGTTACTTTTACCTCTGCCTATTCAGTAAAAGAATCCAATTAGACTCAGTCTCTTAATCAAATGTTTTCTATTCCAATGTGAACCAGATCATTAAACAGCAGTTTTAGTGCTCAATCAGGGATATTGTTTTCATTCTTTTTTAAAAAATATGTAATTTTAAAGGGAGAGAAATACAGAGCTACAGAGACACAGAGAGGGAGATGGAGAGAGAAAAGACAGACAGAGGTCTCCCATCTGCTGGTTCATTCCCCAAATGCTTACAACAGCAAAGGCAAGGTCAGACCAAAGCTAGAAGCTGGGAACTCAATAAGGATCTCCCATACAGGTGGCATGGATCCAACTATTTGAACCATCACCTGTTGCCTCTCAGGGTACACAATTGTAGGAAGGTAGAATTGGGAGCAGAGCCAGGACTCTAATCCAAGCACTCTGATATGGGAACAGAGTGTCCCAGACAGCATCTAAAACACTGCTCCAAATGCTCAACCTCACCTTCATTTCCCCTCAACTGTCCTTTGCAACTTACTTGTTAATATTTTCACTGGTCTTTTTGATAAGAACAGAGTAGAAAAAGAAAAAAAAACTTAAGAAAATTTCTTACATGTCAGCTTTCTTAACAAGTTGAGCAGTTGAAACTGTTGGCTAAATTAATGGTCTGGATTCTCTGCGCAAAAACTAGCGCATGCGTTTTCAGGCATGGGAAGCCAAGACACTGAGGCAAAAAAAAAAGTCCTACATGAAAGATCTCTGTGATAGAGACCCCAGTGGAAAGAAGGGGCCAGAAAAGGAGGTACTTTCCTCTGAAGGGAGGAGAGAACTTCCACTCTGCTTATGGCCTTGTCTAAATACTGATGGAGATTGTGATTCAAAAGGCTTCCATAGCCTAGGCAGCTCACGTCAAGAGCCTCGGGTGATCAGTGACATCATACATAAGAGTATTAATTGTTAAATTAACAGGAGTCACCGTGCACTTTCTTCCCATGCAGGACTTCCACCCTCAATGAGTTGTATTATGAGAATTAACTGTAAAACTTGTTCTCAGTTTGTGTGTGTGTGTAAATGGTTGAAATCTTTACTTAGTACAGAGTTGATCTCCTGTGTACAAAGTTAATTGAAAATGAGTCTTAATGGAGAATGGGACTGGGAAACGGAGAGGGAGGAGGAGATGAGGTGGGAGTGGGGGTGGGATAGTGGATATGATGGGAAGAATCAGTATATTCCTAAAGTCGTATTTATGAAATTTGTACTTATTAAATAAAAGGTTTCTTTGGGGAGAAAAAACTAGTGGATGTGTCCCTTCTCTACAATAATTGACTTGAAATTCTAGAATGTGGGCCCACTGGTTACATTAGAAGTGACTTTTGAAAATGGCAGGGGATCATTTGAAAGACCTGTCTTTTCTTCTATCTCCATCGCTGTGGAAATCTTTCCCAACAGAGCAGACAAAATGAATATCTTTACCCCATGTGTTTTGGGTCCATTATTGATCCCATGTGCAGCTTTCTCATCCTTCCCTCAATGGAGTAATACAGTGGGATATTCCTACTTTTTTGTGGGAAAATAGTACATCATCTTAAACCCTTCATTCCTAATTTTAAAAATGCCTCTCAAATTTAAGATATTACTAAATTTTGGTAACTTTGAAGAAGACAAAACTTTGTCCTATTATTTTTGTTCAATAAATGTTGGATTTATTTGGGTACAAATTCTTTTAATGTCAAGTTAAAATAATAGAAGAAATCTGTCTCATAACAAAGGAAAGCTCTATTATATTCATCAGTTAAGAAGTAATTATGATTACTTATTTATTTTTGTGTTTAATATCTGGTTATCTTGTGTGGATAAAGAGACATAAAATTGGGACACTGTGATGTGAAATCAAATAGATGCCCACTGTACTAATCTAATTACTTTGTCCTACCTCTGACATTTCCACGGGAGGTCAGACACACTACTGAATATATAAAATGTCATTGTGTAAAGGCCTTAATCTGGGCTGACTGAAGCCCAATTTATCTAATTACTTCAGCTGAATCACCACAAAGTGATAATGGACCTTCTTGTTTCCCCTTCCTAGAGTTTCCTTCACAGTCCCCTGGACGGCATTTTGCATGAGTTTGTGGTATGGTATGAATGTGTCCCATGCAACTCATGTGTTGGCAACCCGAGTGCAATAGTGTTGGCAGGTAGAGCCCAATGAGATATGCTTAGATCAAGAAAGCTCTGCCCTCAGGAGTAGATAAATGTCATTAAAAAGGTCTTTTGGCAGTGGGTTCAGTGTTTTCCCTCTTCTGACGTGTGGAGAAACAATATTCATCCCCTCCTGTCTTTCTGGCTTCCAGCATGTGAGGGTACAGCAAGAGAGTTCTCACTAGGCCAAATGCTGTTGCCAGACTCCAGAACCCTGGGAGTTCTTTATAAATTAGCCAGACTGTGGTATTCTCTTATAGCTGCACAAAATGGACCAAGAGAACTTGTCACTAATTTAAGGTGAAAACCATGATTTCTCTCTCCTGCAAAGATCTTCCAGGCATAGCGCTCAGGACTCATTGTTAAGCACTTCTCCATTGTCCATCTCACTCTTCTTGTGTTTGCCATAATTCTACCTTGTCTATATTTAGAATGGAATATTATTTTTATATTGATGGGAGATTTTAGATATATAGAAGGCTTATAACCAAAGACTGTTAAAGTGCTCTGGGTGGTGAAAAGGGAAACACAGCATGCAAAGAATTCAGGAAGAATAAAAACCCAGCCCAAATACCATTTTCTCCCCAACAAGGCAACCTTTCTGGTTTAATCGACACAGGATTAACAACAATCTAAGCTGATGTTTTCTGTTAGTGGCATTAGTCTTTCTCTCATCAGAATGTTGATCCTAGTGACAAAGATTCTGTGCTTGACCGCACTTTAATCAGGCTCCTGAGTCTTCTCCTAGGTGCATCTGAGAACTCCTTGGAAAATGCAGTTTTACTTATGAATCCTTCCCATGTGATTTGGCAAGAACTCCTGCCCTTCTTAACTGGACTCTTCAGCCTGCATCATCTCCCAGGTGGTATCTGATCAGCCTGGCTTGTCTTCAGCAAGGATTCTTTTAGGCTGGGTTAGCCAGAATCTTCCTTGCCCTGGGTGTTTCCTCTTACTAATTTTCTATTGATCCCACTTTCTGACCAAAAATTTCCACTTGCTGTGCTGTATTAGGGGTTGAGTCCAGTCTCTCTTTCTTATTATAGATTCCCATTACACTGGTCCCTATTCCTACCACAATGGTCCTGGAAAAAGTTTTTCCTACCACACTTTAACAAAGTATCATTGAATAGTGTTTTCTTTAATAACACCTAACACAATTGGATAACTGATCATGCACTTTCTGTGTTGTTCTGTAGTCAGTAGACATTAGTGAATCTTTTCCCATTATGATATAAAAGTTCCAGTGACTGGGGCTGCATCAATGATTCTCCCTGGGGAGCTTTAAATAATTGTTGATGTCCAGTACCTATTGAAGACCTATTGACTCAGAATCTCCTGGGGTAGGGCCAAGACATCACTGCTTTAAGAGCTCCCTAATGATTAATATGAAGTCACTGTTGGAAATCATTGGTGTTTTTGGTACCAAATAAATGGATTTATCTGTGTTTCTAAATTTTTCTCCATAGAATGGACTCTGTTGTTTTAGTATGAGTTATACATAACATAGAAGTGCTCATGTGTGTGCATGCATGTTTGAGACCCTTAAGAGCCTGGAGTTGTCCTGGAAAAGTATACTCTAGTTTGGACATGAATTTCCTCTGAGATTAAGTCACAAGGAAAGGGCAGAAAGTCTCTTACCCTTCCTCTAATCTGTAGCTTCTACCAATTCTCATAGCAGCACTGGCTTGGATACTTTTGACTGTCAATAAACCAGGCTACTTCTCCAACTTCCATCACTCAGATAACTGCAAGTCCAAATGTGAGTTTGCTAAAAGCTTGGTCAGAAAAGTAACTGCCTTTTACAAAATAAACTTTTATAATAATTTTTCTAGTAATCTTTTCCCTAATAGCATTTATGTTCCAAAATCTAATTTGACATTCCATATTATCATTTAAGAACATTTACTACAACATCAACCCTCTTAGCTCCTTGCCATACACAAGTCCACAGTCCATATTCTGACTGTATCCTGTTCTTCAACCCTATTTTCTACAGCTTTCTTGTTATCCCTACATACACCATGCTCAGTCCTCTTCTGTTTTTTCATGGAATTTTCCCAGTCTCAATAGTGAAGATCCTCAAGGAGCATTTGGGAATGTCTGAAGACATTTTTTCATTGTGTATAACAATGAGGGAGTATTGTGTATAATGTGTATAACACACACACACACATATAATTGTGTATAATAACAATGTATAATATATAATTGTGTATATTGTGTATAATAACAATGAAGGAATATTGTGTATAATGTGTATAATACATTGTGTACAACATGGAGGAGGTATATGCTATTGGCATCTTGTAGGTAGAGATGGCAGTC